AAACGTTGCCTCCTGCCCACCTAGGTTCAGTCCGACATCCAAAGACAGAACCCAATCTTCTCTGACCTTTTACCCTGCCCAGAGCACACCAGCAGCGCAGTGGGTGGCCCTGCTGACCAGTTGCCAAAGGCGGCAACTGACCATCGCGGGAGCACTCCCACAGGACTGCGAGGGTCGAGAGTGGAGTGTGAGGCCGGGTGCTGGTGGGTGTCAGGATGACGCGGTCCACCCCAGGGCCCCGATAAGTCCTGTCTGTGTCTGTTCCTCCTGCCCAGCCTCCAGGGCAGAGGCTGCCCTGCTTGGGGAGAGATCCCGGGGCTACCCCCGGCATCTGGATGCCAGGGGGCTTGTTCTTAGTCTGCGGAAAGGAACCTGGACCAGCGGCCCGCATTTCCAGGCCAGTGGGACCGGCAGGAAAGCGATTCCCGAGGGTCTGTCTCAGACTGCACACTCACAGCTGCCCCCCTCCTGGTCACACCCTGGGCCACCCGCAGCAGGATTTGGGTGACTCCCAGTTCCGTGCCAGATGGGACCTGTGTGGTGGGAACCCTCTCCCCAGCCTCTGGCCAGCCCAGAGCTCCTGCCCTTCCTTCTCACCAGCAGAGGGGATAGGATGGGTCCGAGTCACTCCCTGCTCTGGCCGCCGGTTCCCTGGTCTCCTGGGGCTGTGTGAGGGGCAGGACAGGGTCTGGGCAGTCAGGGGCTACCCCAGCTGTGCCCATGTCTGGGCAAACCGCAGAGCTCCCGGGTCTGACCGCAGCATGGAGACTGGCAGCCCTAAGCTCTCAGGCAGGAAGGAGGCCCCACCCAGCTGCCCGCCCCTGCATCCCGCTCTCCCCTGGGTCCAGCTGGGGCAGGGAGATGCCCATTCCCAACCTCTGCAACGGCCAGGGAACTGGAGTGGGGGTGGGGGCACTGGCCCTGTGCAGTCCTGCGGGAGGGGCACACGCATCTCCAGAAGGGGAGTGAGGGTGCCGTCGAGGGCAGCTCCAGGGCAGTGGGGTGCGGCGGGCTCACTCCACTTCTGAGCGTGAGGTGGAGGAGCCTGGCGATAGCAGAGCACCCGGCATGCATCCCACCAGGAACATCACCCACCTTCCTTCCCAGGGAGGGGCTATGCCGAGCTCTCCCTGACTGCACAAAAAAAGACCCATCCCTCCGTGCCCAAACCATGCAGGACTACTGGAAGTACACAGGAAAGGTGCCCCCGCCCCCTCTGGAAATGGGCTGGCTCTGACTGGCTGGCACCACCTGGCACTGACTGGAACCACCTAGGATGGGTTTAGCACCATCCAGCACCTGCTGGCACCGACTGGCATCGCCTAGTGCTAACACTCTGCCAAGGCTGGCACTTCCTGGCACAGATGGCACTGCCTGTATACGTGGGCCATGGCTGGCACAAGCTGGGACCAGCTGTCATGGTAAGACACTGGTTAGCGACGGCACCACTTGGTACAGGTGGTACCACATGGCATAGACCGGCGAAAAGAGCCCGTCCTCAGTTTCCCCTCCTGGGAGCCCGCCCCTGTGGCAGGGTTCACCCCAGGACTGATGCCCTTGGTGCCTACACCTGTCTCTCACAGGGGCCTGTGCTACCCCAGGAGCCTCCAGGGGGAGCCCTTCCCGGCCCCCTGGGCCTGCACTGCTCGGCTGAGGGCGCGCTCCTGCCTCTGAGTGCACAGACACAGCGCCTGGCATTGGTTGGCAGAAACCGACACAGAGAGGCACTGAGCGACACAGGGGACCCATCTGAAATGAGTCTCACCAGGCTGTGGGGAAAACCATCACGGAGCCGCGGGCCGTCACCCACACACAAGTGCCCTCCATCTGGGATGGCACACACAGCAGTGCCTGCAACAGCTCGGCACTGACCAGCAGGGGGTGGCACTCACTGGCATCAACTGGTATCAAGTGTAGGGGTTGGCACGAACTGACATGGACATGGGTTGCCTAAGACTGTCACAGCCAGAAGCTGGCACATGTAGGCAAGGCTGGCACTCATTGGCATAGCCTGGCATACACTGGCATGAGCTGGCATCAACTGGCAAGGCAGTTCCCTTCTGGTATTGTCTTGTCACAGATTGGTGCCATCTGACACAGGCTGGCAGCACCCAGTATTGGTTAACACCACCTGGCACTGATTAGCACTGGCTGGCACAGGTTGGCACTGCCTGGCTCAGGACTACTGCGCCCCTGCCGAAAGTGCACAGGGAAGCCACCCCCTCTCCCAGGAGGCAGCCCTGCTGCATCCCCCCCCCATCCCTCTGTGCCCATCCACCAGGGCTGGGCACCCCTGGCCGGGGAACTTCTCCTGGGTTTTGTACCACAGAGCTTCTACCTAGAACCAGCCCCTCTGTCCTGCTGGGATCACCTCCTGCCCAGGGGGTGTGGGGCATCAGGAGGGGGTGTGGGCACACGTCCAAGTCTCTGGGGAGTGGGAGCGAGGGGGCAAGTTGGGAGGCTGCCCCCCACGTCCACTTTCCCGGATCTGCAGCGTTAAGGGCGGCTGCGCCCAGCCCTCTCGCGCGGCTGTCAGCGAAGATACGTCCGCCCCTCATCTCAGCCCCAGGATTCGGATCTTCATGTGCGAAAACCATCCTGTGACCTATTTGCAGTTAAAATAGTTTCTGGCTTCAAGGTGAAAAGTCATCCCAGGGGACGGACGGATGCATTTTTCCAGTTTGGCAGGAAAGCCTCTGGACAACCTTCCCGGGCACTGAGGGCACCACGTGCCCTGCCCCTGCCCCCCCAGGCCTCCGGAAAACTCCCCACAATCCCTTCTCAAAGGGGCCCAGAGGGGCAGAGCAGAAAGAGGCATTTCAGCTTCATTTACACTTAATTCATCAAAATGTCACTGGTAAGAGCTATTTGATGTCCAAGGCTTATGAGCCTTGAATCTAAGCCGCCCAAAGCCCTTTTGTCTTTGAACTTCAATGTGCCATTCGGCCGCGTGCGTGCACGGCCTGGATGCCAACGGGGCGCCTGGGCAGGGCCTGGACGCAGGCGGAGGGGCTCCCTCTCTGTCCCTGCATGCTCGCTCTCTCCCAGCAGGCCCTGCAGATGGGAAATGCAGTTCCACCCCCCCCCCGCCCCCCGCCCCGCTCCAGGATGTGAGCGCGGGGCCCAGCAGAGGAGAGTCTCCCGCATACCCGGGACCAGAGTGCCCCTGGTCGGTGAAGTCCCCCTTGTGGCCCCCACTCTGGGCACCCACGAGGCCTGAGAGAAAATCCAGGGAGTGGCCACAGGGGCCGGGGGCACACAGGGGCTTTCCAGCAGGAAGTGGCCATGCGCTGTTCACGACCAGGCACCCCTGTCTACATCCACCCTAGCCGATCACTAGAGTGGGGTCCCACGGAGCTGCTGCGGACCCCTCAGCTCTGATCCCACAGGCTGCAATCTTCCCCACCATGCCCCGTGAGGTGGTGCTGGGTGCTCCATGAGTGCTGATGGGTACTGGGTTCCCCGTGAGGTGCTGGGTGCTAAGTGTCCCATAAGTGGGTGCTGAGTTCTTCGTGAGGTGCTACTGGGTGCCCCACCAGTGCTGCTGGGTGCTGGGAGCCCATGAGGTGCTGGATGCTGGGCGCCCTGTGAGGTGCTGGGTTCTGGGTTCCCCGGGAGGTGCTGGGTTCTGGGTTCCCTGTGAGGTGCTGCTGGGTGCTGGGTACCCCGTGAGTGCTGTTGAGTGCCCCATCAGGGTCCAGCGATTCAGTCGTCCAGCCCAGCCATGTTAGTGGCCACCCTGGGGGGCATGCGGTGCCAGGGTTAAACGTGGGAAGTGCCCTCCACTGTCTCCTCTGGCCCCCGCTCACATTCTTACCCCGGCAGTTTTCCTGGGGGCCTTGCAGGCTGATCCCTGGCAGGGCTTGGGGACAGCTGGGGACAGCTGGGGATCAAACAGGGTTGGCCACACGCAAGGCGAGCGCCCTGCGGGCTGTGCTGCTGTCCTGTCCCTCTCTGGAGTCTCCGCTCCCCACCATGGGGACACACAGGCATCAAGCGACTCACCAGATGCATCCAAGAATGAGAGGAAAGGAGAGAGGAGAAAGACAGGGCAGGGTGAGTGGAGCCAGGATGAGCGGCCCTGGGTGGGTGTCGCTGTGCCCGTGACACCGAGGTCCCAAGGCGGGTGCTGTCTGGGGCCTGTGTGGCATCCAGGGTTCGAATCCCAGCCCCGCTCTCCCCTCTGGCCGGTCTCTACCGCCCGGGTACTTCAGGCGGCTCATTTGTCAAACGGGGATAACCAGCAGTTGACAGGTGTTTGGAGGGTCAGAAATGACGGGTATGAGCCTGGCACAGGAATGCACTGAGGCGGGGACACAGGAGGGGTCCCAGCCTGCGGCCCACCCAGCCTTGACCATCAAACCCTGTGGTGCCAACGTGGCTTGGGAAAGACCCCCATGACTGAACAGTGCGCTGAGGACCCCAGAGCGGCCCCCAGAAACTTCCCCTAGCCCTGCTCCGGCCTGACTCACAGCATGCCCACCCAGCCCTGCAGCCCCCAGAGGCACACACCCACCACCAGCCGCACGCCAGGTCTGTGGCCCTGGTCCCAGATGCTGTTCTTCAGTCCCCAGTGTGTCCCAGTCAGTGCCCGCCCAGGGCGTGTCCAGACGGCTGAGTTATCCCACCTGGGATTCTCTGACCTGACAAGTCAGGGCCCTTTTTCCAGAAAACCCGTCACTCAGTGCTCCACCCCAGGAATCACCCGTAAGCCAAAAACGGGGAAGGCCCTGAACCCCGAAACCCTGCCAGCCGTCCTCCCAGCTATGATGCCCCAGGGAGCCGTGTCACCCACTCTGGGTTCCCTGGGTGAGGCCTGCAGGTGCGGCACAAAGGGTTGGGGGTGGCACCGTGGTGGTCTCATGGACCTCGGGGCCCCTGTGCCCAGCTCAGAGCTAGTTTCGTGGGCAGAGACAGGCCACGCAATGAGCGCGGGGCTGAGGGAAGCCTCAGTGAGCTCACGCCCCGGCCCCCAGCACTGCCAGCCCCAGGCCCCTTACCCTGGAGATGAGCTCGCCCACCATGCCCGTCCAGGAGCCGTTGGCCTCGGGCACGCCGTACACGCCGTCGCCCACCAGGCGGATCTGGTAGTTGAAGCGCAGGATCTCGGCCAGCTCCTCCAGCATGTCCACGCAGAAGCCCTCGTAGCGGTCATTGCCCTCCATCTCCTGGTGGTTCCCCTTCAGCATCAAGTACGGGTTCTCCTGCAGCAAGACTGGGCAGCTGTCACGCACATCTGAGGCCCGGGCGGGGGGCGGGTGGAGGCCCCCCTCCCTTCCCTGGGCCTTCCTGACGGTCACCGCCCCAGGGACCCCAGACCTAAGATGGGAGGGGCCCAAATGAGGGACGCCCCAAGGCAGCCCCTCCCTCGGGCAGCAGGAACAGGTGGGCCTCGGTGGTGCTGATGAGCAGCCTGGGGAAGGTTCCAGAAGGAGCCAAACTGGGCTGGGAGGGGGGGGGGAGAGGGTGGACACAACACTGTTTTTTTGGCTTGTTTATAGGCCTTTTCCATGAGGGCGAGATACTCCCGGTAGCTTGTCGGGCTCTCCGAGAGGGGCGGAGGAATTGAACCCGGCTTGGCCGGGCTGGCTGTGTGCAAGGCAAACGCCCTACTCCCTGTGCTATCGCTCCAGCCCTCTGTGATGTATTCAATATGCCAAACACAATAACAACAAAGTCTCACAATGGAGATGTTACTGGGCTCGCTCGAGAAAATCGACGAACAACGGGAGGACAGTGACAGTGACAGTTTATAGGCCACACCTGGTGACTCCTGGCTCTGCACTCAGAGATGGCTCCTGGCGGTGCTCAGGGGACCATATGGGGTGCTGGGGATGACACCCTAGGCAAGCGCCCTACCCACTCAACTATCTCTACGGCCCCCAGGTACAACCACTCAGACGCCAGGACTGTGTTCTCAACCCCCTCCTGCTCCGAGCTCCTGAACAGTGCCCCCAGGGTGCTCACTGATGGGTGAGGGAGAGTGTGTCTGCTGTCCCCAGCTTTGACCAGACACGGGAGATGCAGCAGCTCGACCCTCATGCTTCCGACCCCAAGGACCAGCTCAGGCTCTCCCTCCCCGAGTGCTGGTTTCCCAGCACTGACAGGGATGGGCACCCCTTCTCTCAGCGCTCAGGACCCCCTCTAGCCTGCCCGGGCCCCTGCGGGCCCAGAAGGTCGTGTGTGTCTGTGTGTGTGTGGGGGGGGCGGTGCTGTGTGCTGAGTATCATCTCCCCAGGCCTCTGGGGACCAGGCCACACGACGGGCCCATCCATCAAGCCTCAGCCTGGCTCTGTGAGCGCAGCCGCCCGGGGCCCCTCCTGCTGATAAGGTGCCGCGCCAGGCAGGGAAATATGCTTCTGATTAGTTACAGGGGAGGGCAGGGGAGAGGAACAAACTAATTATTGCTCAGAACATGCTGTTGGTCTCACTGACAAAATCTTTTACCGCACAGGAGGGAGCGGTGGGGGCGGAAGGGGGGAACCACGGCCGCCCTTCGACCCTTCCGGGGCTGCGCATCTTGGGCCTCAGGAAGGAGCTCGAAGCTCGCTCCGGGCTCCCTCGGGGAGAGCAGGATCCAGTGAGACAAACAGCCCCCGTCCTGGGGACCCAGAACTCTCTCGTTGCCATCCAGGCGTGAAGAGAGAGCCCACGAGAACCCACGAAACGAAGGCGCAGAGGGCATCCTGTGCAGAGGGCATCCTGGACATGGCCAGCGAGGCCGCTGCTGGGGAAAGGGTCGGGGGTCCTGCTGTAATTCACCCACCGGAGACGTGAGCTTCCCCCTGGCCACATACAGCTCCCCTTGCTGCTGGGGCGACCCTGAGTGGCCTCCACCATGGTGGTGGTCCTGCCCTCCCCCCCAACTCCCCACGCCGCGACTGATCTGGAATGCGTCAGACGGCATTTCTGGCTGAATCTGCCACTGGTGCAGGATTAGGGTCCTCGGTGGGCCTCAAGCTCTGAGGAGACCCCTGGCCCTTTGCTCCCCAGAAGCCCAGGTCTGTGTCTGGAGTGGGGGGAGTGGGCTGGGACTGTTCCTGGGGGTGGGGCCCCGGGCACACCCCACTTACCAGGATGGTGGTGACGATCAGGGTGGTGTTGAAGAGGCTGGCGGAGATGTTGGAGGCGAAGAGGCGGCTGTCCATGCTGAGGCCGTCTGCCACGTGCCACTGGCCGATCTGGGGGGACCGAGGAGAGAGGAGTGGGCAGGGGTGGGGGTGGGGAGCAGGGCACGAGGGTGTGCGTGATGCCAACGCCTCTCTGCCAACTGGAGCCCCTGCCCAGGCCCTAGGGCTGGGCGCTTGAGCCGGGAGGCCAGGGGAGATGCGGACAGCGGTCAGGACATGGGTCAGTGGATGCATCTGCCTCGCCCGGGCATCGCCAGGCACCCGCCACGGCTTCTGGAATATTCCTCCCAAGTGTCAAGCAGGCCCCGTGATTCTGGCTTGCCAGGCTGGGCACTGCAGGTGTCTGCTGGAAGTTCCAGTGGCCATGAGGACATGGGCTCACCCTCGGCCATGGCGGCGGCCCAGTGGTGAGGGGTGCTACTGAGAGGCGTGGGCCACGGGTCACCTCTCGGCCCCCGTATGGAGCATGGAGAGCGGGGCTCAAGCAAGGACCACTGGAGCACAGTCACCAGGACCAGCCCCCACAGCTCCCCTGCCTTGGTGGGCACAGGGTGTGGGCAGTAGCCCCAGACCCCTGCAATGGGCCCCGTGGAGAGAGGAAGCCCAGCCCACGGCTCAGGAGCAGGGGGCCCTGCTGTGGCCCGTCCACACCCGTGGCCTCTCGGAGGGTTGATGAGTCCAGGCAGAGCCCCCGCCTCCCCCCACCCCAGAGTCTGGCAGAGCATCACGGGGGGCGGGGCGCTTCTTGTTGGCTTCTGGGGAAACGGAGGCTCAGGGGGGCCTGGGGGCGGCACAGACTGGAGACCCAGATTGGCTGTGCCCCGGAGGGCAGCACCTTCTGCCTCTGCAGCTGCTCCCTGGGGTGGAGACCCTGCGGGCCCCGCTAACAACCCAGAGAGGGGCCGGACAGGCTGTCCACAGGACAGGTCCGGGAGCGCTGGACCCCCAGTCTCCCGCTAGGAAGCCGCATCTGCACATAGGCCTTGGGGAGTCGCTGGCAGGTGCCTGGGACACAGCAGAGTTCCTGGTGCCACCCCTCACCACCTCCCCCATGCCCCTCCTCTGGGGGGGGGGCCGTCCCCACTCCCTACTCCTGCTGGGACTGATAGCAGCAATGCCAGGGCGAGCAGGGATCGACCCGGTGCCAGACCCCAGCCTGAGCCAGCACCCCTGGGACCTGGCATGGTCCTGAGACCCCAAGCTCCAGCACCTACCCCCCACACGCCTCAGAGCCAGCATGGCGGCCTGGCAGCCCTTAGAGGGGCCCTAACTGCAGAGATGAGGTGTGTGGGGTGCAGCGGAGGGGCCAGTCCGAGCCAGGTGCTTGGGAAAAAGACCCCTTTAGGCAGCAGACCTGGGAGACAGCTGGAATCCCACCTGGCTCTGCTTCCAGCCAGACCCCCTGCTGTGGAAACAGCCCCCACCCGCCCCAGGAGCTGGCCGGGCAGAGGGCACAGAGCAGTGGTCCGGCTCCCCTCGGCCCCTTCTCTCTCCCTGTGCCCCCCCCACCAGCTCAGGGGGGACAGGGATTGCGGTGAGGGTGAAGGTGAGTGTTTGCACCCTGCCGGCAGAGAGAGCGGACGGAAGCCAGCCAGCGGCGCCCCGGTTGGCTGCTCTGTCTGTTCCCGGCAAGCCTGTGCCGTGAAAGTCTCTTAACCACAGGATATTCTCTCGGCACAGGACACGAGCCCCAGAGCAAAGCACAAGGAAAACCCAGGACGAGAGGATGGCAAGGCAAGGCAGACCCCGGGGGTGAGCGCTCAAACCCAGCCCTCGGGGAGAGCCAGGCGCAGTAGCTGCCCAACTGAACCTGGGGGACAGACGCCCCTGCTCAAGCCTTCAGCTCCGTGAGCCCCTGGGCGGGGGGCCTGGTGGACACAGCTCACATTAGTAGGTCAGAAGATCAGCCCTGGATTAGATAAGCTGCAAACTGGCACACGCAGCAGTGGACTCAGGCTCAAGCAAGCAACAAGCAGAATCAGGGGTCGGGGGCAGCATGGCTAACACAGGCCCTGGTCTCGGTTCTGTCACCCCCCGCCCCCAGGGGCGGCCTGGATGGAACTGGGCTCGGCAGACAAACTCCTGGTCTCGGTCACTTCTCAGGACAGTGCAGTGTGAGATGCTGAAACTCCCCAGCCTGACACCCCCGTCTCTGTGTGGTCTCCCCCTCCCAGGAGCCCTGCCGTCATTTTCGTTCTACAGTGTGGAAACGGGGCTCCTGGCGGTGAGGCTTCTGCCAGGCTCCCGCCCCTCCAAGAGGCTCACTTCCCCGGGCTATGGAGGTGACTTCCAACCCATCGGTCTTTGCCGGAAGCGTTCTGTTCCGGTGTGCACGGCTAAGGCTCCCGAGTCAGTCTGAGCTTCTCGGGCCCTTTGATTCTTACTTACATATCTGAGAGAGGAGATTTACATAAGCCTGTGTGTGTGGTGGGGGTGGGGGGAGGGTGGCAAAGCCTCCTGCATGCCAGCTCTCCACCCCGGCCCTTCTGCGTGAGCTCTACCCCAGAACAGGGCCATGCCCAGCACCGCCCCCTGCCCCACATTCCCACCAGGGACGAGACTCTCTCGCTCCCCCTCACATATCCCCGGATGTCGAGGCTGGGACAGCTGAGTACATCGTTGGTGATCTCATTTTGCTACGCACCCCCCCCCCCCCCAGGCCCCAAACTGCAAGACAGAGGCTGGCCCGTAACAGATGCAGAGAGAGATCGATGGAATTCAGTGATGAAATTCCTCGAGGCAAGTCGCTTCTTTTGAATCTTCACTTATCTTACCTCAGAGAGTAAATAAGCAAACCCATCCCCGTCCCTCCTGCACAAATGCTTCCGCTGGCCCAGGGCTGGGGCACGACCGGTCTGGGGACTGTGCCAGCTCCACGAGTATCTGGTCCGCGGTGGGCTAAGCAGAAGACCCCCCCAAAGGGCTAGGAGGCTAATTATGGGGGGGATGAGGGAGGGGAGTCTCCCAGTGACTCTGGACACCTGGATGGGGGTTCAGCGTGAGGGTCCGAGGATGAGGGGCTTCTCGGCCCTGGGGGTGACCCTGGCCACCCCGGTGGTGCTCAGAGGCCTCCAGGGCTGCACCTGGGGGTGTTCGGGGAGCTTAGTGGTGCTCAGGCTTTCAGTGGGGTGAGGCAGATAGGGCAGGAGCCTGAGCCTCAGTCATCTCTCCGGCCCCTCCCACCCTCTACCCACTCGCTTCGTCCCCTCTTGGCCCTCAGCCGCAGCTGTCTAAGCAATGGGGGTGGCACACTGACCTCACACCGGCTGGCACAGGGCAATGTCTGAATCTAGACCCCAGGGGCACATCCTGGGGTGCCTCCCATGAGACAGAAGGTCCGAGCACCAGCCGCCCGGGAGAGACCTGAGCAGGGCACAGAGGCCGGCCAGACGCTTCCGGTACAATCACTGCATCGGAACTCGACTCGCCGGGAAGACGGGGCTAATGCCAAGCTCCAGAGTCCCGAGTGGCCACGTGGCCATCGACTCATGTTCCTAATGAAGCGTTAGAGAACACGGACGCGGTCACTGTCCAGACACAGGCTGGCAGCAGCTGGCACCGACTGGCACAGGTCTGCCTGCTGGGTGCCCTCCCCCATCTGTCCAGCCCCAAGGCCTGGCTGTCTGGGCCCAGCTGGCACCTGAGCCCGTGGTTGCAGGCTTCTGGGGCAGCAGGGAGTGGCCAGCCTGCCTGAGCCCTACTGAGCAGCACAGCTTCCCACCCAGCTGGCAGCAACCGTGGCTGGACTCAGGCGGGGTGTGTGCTTGGGCACGTCACACGGAGGGTGTTTAAGATGCAGCCCTTCCCAGGCCTGTGCCACGCCGAGCGGCCCGCTCAGAAGTGTGAGTCCTTCTCATTTGCCTGCTGGCTGGACTGTGAAGAAGCTTCCGCAACAGCCGGTGCATTCCCCAGGGCCGGGAGCAAGGATGCAGGGGCAGTGTGTGTGTGTGTGTGTGTGTGTGTGTGTGTGTGTGTGTGTGTGTGTGTGTCTATGTGTGTATTGGGGGGGGGGGGAACAGCGTGGGAGAAGAGGAGCCCTGGACGACCGCTTTCTAAGCCAGGTCAGTGGCCAGTGACCTCTGGACAGCGGATGCCGACCTGGGGGGAGGGCGAGGGGCGCTGCATGGGCAGTGGGAGACCCTGGAAGAAGCAAGTGTTAGGGAAAGGGCCTCTCAAGCTCCCAGAATCCCCAGGGCCCCCCAGCCCTGCTCCCTGCCCATTAGACCTTCCTTGGGGGTGGGGGCACTGAGCCCCACCCAACTAGGGGGTCCAGCCTGGCTGCAGCAGTCTCCTTGGTCCAGGCGGTAGCGATCACCTTCCTCAGCCTCTGAGGGCCAAGGCAGGAAACGGGAGCGCCACGCTGGACAGGCCTCCCACCTCACAATACCTCAGGGCCTTACACCCGAGTGACCCCCACCCCACATGCTCTGGGGGACAAGTTCTGAGGTGGAGGGGGGGGCGGTGATCACCTTAAAGGTCCGCCATCCCCACCTCAGTTCCTTCCAAAACAAAGAAGCAAGCGACTTCGGTCACCTTCACGCGGCTCCCCTGCGGAGGCCGCTCTGCACCTCTGAATTTCCTCATCAAAGACAGCGCTGCGGCTGGGTGGGCTCTGGGGGGCGCGGGGGAGGGAGGGGGCTACCTGCCAGGCAGCCTCCCCTGCTGGCCCCACTGCTGGCCCCCAGCCAGGTCTCACGGGCTGCCTGGGTTGCAAACATGCCAGACAGTTGCCAGGACGCTCTCCCAGGGGAGACGGGGGTGGGGGGGGAGACCCCACTGAGAGCAGGACTCGGTGTCACCTGCAGGGGCTGTGCTGAGGGGTTTCTGTGCTCTGTCTGGAAGCAGCAACGAGACATGGGACAGGGGCCTGCCAGCAGGTCAGCTGGAACTGCCACCAACGTGACACCCCTGTAAACAGCCCCCAGGGTGAGCGGAGCGGTCTGGTCACCCCCGAGATGGCAAGTGCTGAGGACGGAGAATTCCCTCACCTGGTCACCCCCTGCCCAAACCCCGACTTCCCAGGTCTGCGAGCCTGCCTGGGGTTCTGATGAAGAAAGGGGGCTCCAAGGGTGGGGGAGGAGAGTCATGATGGGCAGTGAGGGGACCCCCTGCATCCGAGGGGCTTGTGGGAACCTGGGGGAGTTGGAGGTGGTTCCCAGAAACCTCTAGAAGGTGCAGGACCCTGAGCTCCCGAACCCCCAAGGTGATTCGCAGAAGACGCCTGCTCCATCCATCCTCTGGTGAGACCCGCCCTCAGCCCTGTGTGAGGCCACACGGCATCTGGGCAGGGGACAAGGCCACCGGGTCCCAAAGCCCGTTCCCTGGCCCCTCTTGGCCAGCCTGCTTGAGTAGGGGAGGGCAGTTTGGGCTGGTTTCCCTGCAAGCAGCTGCGGACATTCCTGGGCTCCGAGGCCCAGAGCTCAGTTGAGGAGGGCAGGATGCAGGGCGGGCGAGGCGGGTGCCACGTGCTCTCCGGCCCTCTGAAACACGGTCTTGACTCAGAGACGTGAGAAGGATGAGGCAGGGGTGAAGGTGACGTTCGTCCAGGGCACTGCCAAGGGGAGCACTGGAAAGGAGAGCACAGCGGCGCAGAGCCTATCCAGCAGGGGCCAGGAGCTGCCTGCGGGGCCACACCTCACTCAGGAAACTGGTGCTCTGAGAGCTCCCGGCTAGACTCTGGGGGCCCAAAGCACCACCCACTAGCTTGGGGTAGCTGAGGACTGGGGGAGTGGCCTCCACCCAGCACCTGGGAAGCTTTGGGGGGGCCTGAGAGGCGCAGGCCAGGCCAGGCTCCGGGAGGGGGGTGGGGGTGGGGGTGGGGTGCCGTGCACAGTCATCCCACTTGCCCTGGGCTTGGAAGGTCAAGACCCGAGGCCTCAGCCTCCCCTGAGCTGCTCTGGGCACAGAGCAGGGGGACTGGAGTCTGCTGATAGCCGGGCCAGATGCGAGCATCTGCCTGTGGACAGCTCCTGACCACTCCTGGTCCTGTGGTCTCGGCTGCAAGAAGGAGGACGACACCTGGGTGATGAAAAGATGAGACCCATCCCGCAGGGGCCCCCCAGGTCCATGCGACCCCCCGGGCATAGCGTACCAGGTCAGGGACGCCCGTTGAGTGCTGCTTCCTCCCTGCCTAGACCTGGCAAAGCTGTTCTCAGCCCTGGGGTGTGGCCAGGCCGGCCCGGAGGGGTTTTCCCTCCTCCTGGGGGCAGAGAGGGAAGCTGAGATGCGTGTCTGCGGCGGGGGCAGGGGGCCTGTCAGCCTCTGTCTCCCCGAGGCTTAATTAGAGCCTGTTAAGCCCTTCCCGATGCTGAGATGAAAGGGGCGTTCATCTTATTAGAGCCCGAACAAGTGGAGGGGCTGCTGCTCTGTTAAAGGAGGGAATTAAGGGCCCTCCAACAAGGGGCTGGTTCTGCACCCTCCCTCCCTCCTTCCCTGTCTTTCTTTCCCCTGCCTTTTTCCATGGGGGTAGGAGATGCTGCTGGTCCCCGGCGACGTGAGGACTCTCCAGGCAGTGGAGAGGACACTTTGGGCGGGGGAAGGGACGCTCGGACCAGGCCTGCCCACACAGGGGGAGGCTACCGGTCTGGATGTCCAGGAATGCTCCACATGACGTGGTCCCAGCACAGGCTTGTGTGTGTGTGTGTGTGTGTGTGTGTGTGTGTGCGCGCTCACCCACGTTGTGGGAAGTGGGAATGGCCTGCCCTGCCCCACCACAACGTGTGCGAGCGCTCACACACACACACACACACACACGCCACTCTCCGGAGGCTCGCCAGAAGCCCTCTCCAAACAGAATCAAAACAGTAATTTTTTTTAAATGGTTAAAAAAAAATAAATAACCCTGAATTCTGAAAGACTGTTCTCCACAATGGTAATAATCCCTTAATCAGCCGCTGCGGGGAATATGGTATTTGGTTCAGACATTTTACCAATTACAACCCACTGGCTCACCGCGTGGAGCTTTCTAAATAATCAAACTCAGCCCCAAACAGTCACTCTCCCAGCCCGGGAAAGAACCAAACCAAAAATCCCGCCCGAAGCTGCCATGCCCACGGGCAGCCCAGTACCGCGGGGAAGGCAAAGCTGTGGGCACATGCCAAGGGTGATGGATGGATGGAAGGATGGACAGAGAGACGGACAGAGCCAGGAACTCCGACGGCTCTGAGCATCTCCCCTCCCCTCCTGCTGGGGGGGGGGGGGGGCGGGGCGCTGCAGCCAGTTTCCTCCCGTGGGAGAGGAAAGCGGAGTCACCTGTAAGGACTATCATCTGGGTAGGACGTGACCTGAGCCCAGAACACACGTGACGTCCGGGAGGTGCCCGCAGTTTCCTCCGCTCCTGGCCATCTGTGCTGACGAGTCCGTGCCCACTCCCGGGCACGGGAAGCAGAGAACCTGAGCACGGGGAGTGACTCTCCTCCCCGCAGAGAAGCCCATCAATTACGGCTCACCAGCGGCTCCTGGGCTGTGATGCGCGGGGGAAGGGCACCTGTCAATACCCGAGATTGGGCTGGGACCTGGGGACGGCGCCAAGGACGCAGCTTGCAGTCTGCACCAGAACCCACAGGCCCACATCAGACAGGAGCCTTCACTGCTTGGTCCTCAGCACTGAGCAAAGCATCCCAAGGGGCGGCCCCCGGGACCCCCAAGTACTGCTGGGGGAGGAGCCTCAAAAAATACTTGGAGGGGCCGGAGCGATAGGACAGTGGGGAGGGCTCTGGCCTTGCACGTGGTTGATCGGAGTTCGATCCTGGCATCCCACAGGGTCCCCGAGCACCGCCAGGAGTCATATCTGAGTGCAGAGCCAGGAGTGACCCCTGAGCACCGCCGCACAGGCCCCCAAACAAACAAACAAACCAACCAACAACACTGGGCTTCTAAGTCAGCAGTGATTTGGCTCCACATCAGCTGTCCCCAGGAACTTTCGATGCAGAGCCCGTCTCCCCGTCGGAGGTCACTGAGCGGGAGGACTGAGTGAGAGGGAGCACCGAACGGGGTACATGCAAGGTGGCCGTGGCCAGTGGGGAGGCTCAGGGAGGACCAACTCCGGGAGAGGACAAAGATGGTGGAGGGGCAGCCCAGGGCCCCCGAGCCCAGGAAGCCACTTCTGCCCCTCACGGCCCAGGTCCAGCCCCTACCGGCAATTCCTGCCTAATGAGGCCTCGTCTCCATGGCCCCATCCCCTCCTTCGCTGAGGCTGGGCCAGACTAAGAATAGCGGCTGATTATCAGTGCGACGGGAGAGGCCGAGTGGCTGTCAGGATCCCCTCCCTCTGCGGCAGCCCGAGGAAAGGAGAATACAAAGGTTAATGGAGGAGAATGAGGGAAGGAGCGGGATGGAAAACAGCCGGGGAGCACAAAGCCAGAGCCGGGCGCGGGCAGGAAAGGAGCGTGTGATTGGCGCGGAGGGAGGGGGCAGGAAAGAGCCCAGGCACGGGGATCCGTCAGGCCCCCCCCCCCCACTCTGCGCCTGACCAAACGTCTCCGGGTGTCAGGGTGAAAATCAGGGAGCAGAAGGACCCACGGGCATTCCCTACAGAGGCGACACATCCTGGCCTTCTCTCTGCCCCCCACAAAGCTCGGTGGCAGCCCCTGAGATGTTCTGAAGAAGCTGCGGTCCCTGCCCCCCATGGGCCAGTCTTGGTGGCCGGAAGTGTATGTGGGGGTGTGGGGAGGCCGTGCCTCTGGGGGGCTGAGCATGGGGGCCGGCCTGAACGCCCAGGCCAGCAGCCTTACCTGCCGGAACCCATTCCTGGTGAACTGTAGGATTTTCAGGGCGTAGTTGGATCTCTGGCCTTTGCTGTTGAATTCGATGTGTCCGGTGAGACCTTCCAATTCTACCTGTCCAAGAGAGCGTGAGTTACAGCACCCCCCAGTGCCCCGGCTGCACCGTCCTGGGACCCCTTCCCACCTCCGCTGGGGGCCGGCCACGCCCTCCAGGTCCCCAGAACCAGTTTACAGGTGGCAGGGCTGGAGGATAGGGGAGGAAGAAGCCTCTGGGCCTGCCGGAGTCCGGGGGAGGCAAGAAGCCAGGACGAGACAGTCAGACCCAGAACGCCAAAGGCACGCTAAAGAGGGCCACTGGCGGGGGCGCTGGGTTTGGGGGGCTGCGGGCGCCGGCCTCACCATGCGCAGGTAGTTCATGAGGCTGGTGCCGTGCTGCCAGATCTGCGCCGAGCCGCACGACAGCGGCTTCACGCCAATCTCCTGGCTGCGGTTCAGTTCCTGTACCGCGGTCACCACGGTGTAGACAGCGTCAAAGAGCAGCGCGGAGGAGAGCTGGGCGTCAGGGAGGGGAGGGAGGAGAGAGCAGAAGCGCCAGGTAAGGGTCTGTCTTCCGGGTCTGGGCACATCCCGCCTGCGGATACATCGCCCCCACCCCAGAGTGCCCCAAGGCCGGCAGTGCTGAGTGCACCATGCCCCCGGGGTGTGGTGCACCTTCAGGCTGCTCCCCAGACCCCAGCTGGCCTCAAATGTGTCCTTTTCATTCCAACCTATTTTACATATGGTGGGGGGTGGGGCTTGGGGGGTCCCATGCCCAGCGATGCTCAGGGCTTACTCCCGGCTCTGCATCCAGGGTCACTCCTAATGGGCTCAGGGGACCATATGGATGCTGGGGATTGAGCCCGGGTCCGGCCCGCTGTCCTCTCTCCCCGCTCTTCTCTCTACAGGCTGTATGCTGGTTCCCGGGAGCCCCTGACCAGTGCTGACACGCAGCCCTGGCACCCCACCCCGCCGGGCATATCCACCCACTGAGCCTCCCTTGGCCCCGGCGGCCACTGTTCCACAGTGGAGGCTCGGCCATCGTAACAGGTGACTGGATCGTGGGTTGGGGTGAGCGAGCTGGGGGTTGTGACCTTTGGCAGCCCTTATAGGGGTGTCGCCTGCAGAGGGGTGATGTGGTTCCTGGCTCCCTGTGTGTCAGCCTGGGAACCCCAAACCTCTCTTCCCTTGGGCCCCTCAGCTGGACCAGCTCCTGGGTGTTCCCAGGGGGTTCCCTGAAGTCTGTTCCCCACCCTGGTCCCATTCCCAGCCCCTAATCACGCCTTTCCTCCCCTCCCGGTCTCCCCCACAGGGACATGAGGACCCCAACACTCCCGGGCTCTTCTCGGCCTGGGGAGCCCACCTGAGCCACTCCCGACCCTCACTGCCTCTCTTGGGAAGCACCTGGCACCCAGTGTGGGGGCTCAGGGCCAGCACCCCTTGCCTTCCCCGGGCCCACTCTCGGCCTCCTCTCTGCTGTCTAGCCTAGTCCTGTCCCTCTAGCTATGAAACCCTGGAGCTACTTCACAGCTGAGACCCGCCCCTCGTTCCAGCACAAGAGGCTGCTCGTTCCCGTGTTCTCATTTGCTTCTTCATCGTTATCTTCCTGTGAGCGGTTTGTGAATTGTTGAGGGGAATGGAAGGCCCGGACAGGCCAAGCGGAGCCCACCTCCTGGACCACAGCGCTGCCTCTCTCCCCCGCCCCTAACCGTGGGGTCAGAACACCTTCAGGACACACACCTGCGCCCCCGGCCCCCGGCGTGTTCCCGAAGCCCATTTGTCTCTGAACCTCTGCAGAGACTGGCCTGGGCAGGGCACTGAAACGGGCACCGTCTCAGCCTCACGGAATGGAGCTTACAATCTGGGTTTTATTCAATGAAATAAACCCTTAATTACAAACATCTGCTTTAGCCTAATTCTAATTACTTAATCTAGCCATCTGTAATTTGAATGATTTGCCGCGATTTTCATTCTTTGCAACGTGGTTCCTGGGAACCGCATACGAAAGTGGGGGGGGGTCCTGTCACCACAGAGCGCAGCTTGGGAGCACAGCACGTGGGCAGCTGTCCAGCCCTGCACCCAGCTGCCTGCCAGGGTTGCCTCCCCCCCGCCCCCGGCCAGCCCTGCCCTCTCCGGGGCCCGTGGGGTGGGGGGAGCCTCCCCAGTCAAACCTGCCTGCCTCTGGGAAGGTGACAAAGAAGAGACACACACTGGGAGACGGGAGGAGAAGTCCATGGGAGAGAACATGGAGTCAAGAGGAGGAGGAAGCACAGGAAGTGGTGGGGAGAGAGAAGGTGAGGGAGGAGAGGAGGTGAGGGAGGATGGAGGTGAGGGAGGAGAGGAGGTGAGGGGGCAGAGGAGGTGAGGGGGGATGGAGATGAGGGAGGAGAGGAGGTGAGGGAGGAGAGGAGGTGAGGGAGGAGAGGAGGTGAGGGAGGAGAGGAGGTGAGGGAGGATGGAGGTGAGGGAGGAGAGGAGGTGAGGGGGAGAGAGGAGGTGAGGGAGGAGAGAGGACGTAAGGGAGGAGAAAAGGGGACAGTAGTGGATAGGCCGTAGCCCTCTGAGTTCACATGGAGGCTCACTGGGCGTATGGTCACTGGGCATGGGCCCCTGGTCAGCACCTTGGTCAGCTGGGCATGAGGGAGGGTTGGAGATATCATGGCCAGGACACGGCCCGGGCAGCCAGGCACCCCCACCCCCACTCTTGGGCCTTGCCTGAGCGCTGATACACACAGCAGACGAACCACAGACCACACGTGATGGACCACGGACCACAGATGATGCACTGACAGACCACAAACCATGTGCTGGTGGAAAAGCCGGGAAGGTGGGCTTCAAGGAAGGAACCCCCCACCGCCCAAGTGGCCCAGGGTTCCAGGCCAAGCCCCTGTCTCCCAAACTAGCCTCATTCTGCCAGGGTTGAGGTTGGCCTCAGAACAAGACCCAGCCCTGCCCGTCCCCCCGTAGCCCAGCCTGGGCTTTCGTCTCCACAACCGGAAACTAAGACAGCGGATGGTGCCAAAGCCCCCTCCAAGCAGCATGACACAGGCCTCCCCGCCCCTAACCACAGCTGCGTCTCCCACCCATGTCTCCTCCCCCAGCCGCGGCCCCAACTCACTGCTCCCCCCCCATGCTTGTCACTGGGGCCCTGGGACCCCCCCCAGGTGTGTGAACCTCTGTGGGGGCAGCATCCGGAAAGGGCAGAAACCCCGGGGTCCATGCTACCCACAGAGCAAAGGGGCCCCGGGGGGCGTGGGGGGACACTTACCGCAGGCCCGGTGAAGGGCACGTGGTCACAGTTCTCTTGCCACGACTGGTTGAGGCTCTGGGCGAACTCCTGGAAGAAGGCGTGCGACTGGTTGAAGATGGAGAAGCCCAGGATGTTGACGCGGTCATCCACGAGGCTGTCCATGCGCTGCAGCGAGAACTCCTGCGGAGACACAGCGTCAGGAGACCGCCCGCAGCGCTCACCATGGCCTTCCGAGGGCATGGCCGGGGGTGCTGGAGAGGCGATACCCGAGTTAAGGCACACGCCTCCCGCACAAAGCTGAAGCCAGGCCGGGTTCCGGGACCCTGATGGTCCCCTGAGCACCACCGCGAGCAGTGCCAACCTGTGCCCGTGATGCCAGGTGGTGCCACCTTGTGCCCGGCCAGGCCGTAAGTGTCAGTGTCTACCTGTGCCAGCCAGTGCCGGCTTGTGAGCCCTGAGTTCAGAACCAGGAATGAGCACTGCTGGGTGAGGCCCCAGAACAAATGAGGGGAGGTCAAGCCTGTGGGTGTGAGGCCTCAGGACAGGGAGCACCCCTAGGAGAAGCCACAGCCGTTGAGGCAGCGGGAGCTCAGCCCCTGGAGCCCCCAGAGCTGGCCTCCACAGAGAGACCAGATAAGAAGGCGGAGTTCCGGGACACTCAGAGGAACACCTGCTCGTAGTCACACACTGCAGTCCACGGCATCACCACATCTGCATACTACCATCCATGGCACCACCAGGTCCACATAGTACCATCCACAGCATCTCCGCGTCCACACAGTACCATCCACGGCATCACCGCCTCCACACAGTACCATCCACGGCATCACCGCGTCCACACAGTACCATCCACGGCATCACCGCGTCCACACAGTACCATCCACGGCATCACCACGTCCACACAGTACCATCCATGGCATCACCGCGTCCACACAGTACCATCCTCACTAAGGAGAGCTGGATGCCTCGGCTCCAGGAGCACGGCCTGGGTGGGGTAGAGCAGGGATTTGCACTGTGCAAACTGACCCCTGAGATCCGGGGACACTGACAACTGCAGGGCCGGGCCGGGTCCAGCCTGGAGGAACAATAACGCCAGTACACCCAGAAGTCGGCTCCACAAACAAGGAAGGCTCAGCCTCCTGGCTGGCAGGTGGAAAAGGCTCATTACAGGGAGTCTGAGTCCTGCCCGGGAAGTCGCGGCAGCTGCCAGCTCCCTGTCTCTGTGAGCCCCACTGGGCCAGAGACGAGCCAGCGCCAGGCAGAGTCGGAATGAATGAGTTAATTACAGTGACTGGGAGACAGCCCATCCCCAAGTCAGCCCCTGTCTCCTGCCTTTAATTCCCACCTTCTTATCCCTCAATTAGATCCTGTTTTCAAAGGTCCTTTCAGATGAAAAGATCCAGGGGCCTCCCTGCTGATTCCCTCTCTCTCTCCCTCTCTCCCAGGCACTGGGGGAGTCTGTGCATCCTGGGAGGAGGAGAAATGCCAGGATTCTCCTCCCCAACATCCCCTGGAGGAGACCTGCTGCCTCACGCAGAGGGCTGTTTTCCAAATGAACATGGGACAGCTAGCCACTCCCCATCACACACGGGGAAGCTCTTTCCAGCCGCTCTCCCACGCGTCCTTTTGGGACACTCACTTTCAGTGGAGGGGGGGGTGATCGGGGGTGGCGGAGGAGGGGATTAAAGAAAGTTCCTGAAAATATGGCTCCAGGTTGGAATGAAGCTAGAAAATCTGGCACACGATCTCCACCTCTGCAAAAGGCGCACGGTGAGAGGAGGCAGGGTTGGTGGCAGTTCCAAGGCGATGCCGCCTGCTGGTCTGTTTCAAATCCAGAACCCACCACACACAGCGACCAGCCAGCAGCCCCCTGCACCCCCGCCTGGGGACCGTTCCTCCAGACGTGTGCCTGGAGACAGGTGCTGGGAGCTAGGTTGGGGGCTGCGTGGGGGGGGGGGGGGTTCGCCTTCCCAGGAGCACCAGGATATTTAGAGCAGAGTCAGCTGGCCAGATGGACCAGGTCGAGACCCCATGATTCTACAGGCTGACACGGCCCGGTCTCCCCGTTTCCGCACCCTCTACTCAACGGTGCCCATCGCAGACTGCCGGGCTCCCCTCCTGTGCCCCCACCGCCCAGTGGCAGCAGCCTCAGGTGCGGGCACCGCACAGGGTGGGCTTTCCTGGGACGCAGTGAGCCGGGAAGGGGGCTCAGGGGGTGCCCACACTCAGTAGAAGTGGGTCCCATCACACTGGGGGGAGCAGAGCCAGCAGTCAGCGGGGAAGGCCGAGGGGCACAGCAGACACGCAGCCCTACTCCCCTGTCCCTCAAATGCATGCGCTGGCAATGGCCCGGGGCGCTGGTCCCCACAGCCCGCGTGTCCCCATCCCCCGCAGAGCAGAGGGCACCCGGAGGGACTGCTAAGTGCTGGTCACAGACTGTTGATCAAGGACGTTTCAGAGCCCGGGGTCCTCAGAGGGCGCCACCTGGTCCAGCGCCTCCCCGCAGCAGGGGGTCAGGAAACAGCAGAATTCATGTCCACCCTGACTGCTCGTCTTTGGAAAAAGAGAGTCCTCATAGCTCGAAAATGTGCATGGACATGTATGTACGTGCGCTCACATGTGTATGAATGTGTGTCTAAGAGTGTGTGAGCACACGAGCATGTATGCAGAATGTGTGCCTAAGTATGTGTGTCTGAGTATCCTTGTGCACACATGTATCTTCATGTACACGTATGCATGTACGTGTGCATGTGTATGACCATGTCTAAGTGTGTGAGCAAGTGCATGAGTATCTGCATGTATGTTAGTGCATACGCGTGTATGTGTGTGAGCAAGTGCATGATGCACGTGTCTGAGTGCACACACGAATGTGTGTGCATACATGTGTCATGCATGTTCACACACATGCTTGCACATGTGTATGAGTATCCATGTGAACACATGTGTGCTTGTGAGTATCCATATGAACACGTGAATGTGCGCATACATGTGTGTGACTGTCTCTGAGCACATGCGTGTACACGTGTATGAGCATCCCCGTTTTCACGCGTGTGTGACTTCCTGCAGGGAATGTGGTCCTGGGTTCAGGTGACTAGACTGCATCACATCACACTACGCCCTCAGACTGAACCCTGTTGGCTGGTGAGAATCACGGGGAGGGGGCGGCAGGCTCCCCGGCCCTGCATGTGAGTCCTCCCCCCCCCTCAGGAACACATTTCATCCTGCAGCAGAGAAATGGCCCAGCTCCACAGCGGAATCTCCAAAGCACGCAGGCCCCATCTCCACTCTGCGGCCTTCTCGGCACGGGCAGGCAGATCCCCCTTTCTGCCCGAAGGCACAGCAGCCCACAGCCACCCCAACACCCCCCCACACACACACACAAATGGCCGGGCTCCACAACTGAACTTCATCCAAGTGCCGAGCCACCGAACTGTCCAGATCTATGGCTGCCGACCATGAAGCCATGGCCGCCTGAGCTCCAGAGCACTGTCAGTGCAGTAGGGTCTCGGCGAATCTGATGGGAAAGTTGCAGAGAAGCTCAATGGGCCTCAACAATAGCGTGGAGGCGCCAGGCAGCCGGGTAAATCCCCAGACAATGATTCCAGGAACACCATTGTGAGGTGGAACAGTGACCCCCAATTGGCTCTGATCGATCTAAGTTCGGATCATTCCATTTGCCTTTGTGTTGAAACAAACAATCTGAAGTGAATTTATGCCTGTGAAGGGGGCAGGCGGGGACGGAGGGTGGGACCTGGGGACACGGTGGAAGGAAGGTCACACAGGGGGTGGGAAGATGAAAGGGCTAAAACCCAAGTCAATCGTTTCTCAAGTGGACACTATTTCCTTTTATGAAACAGCCAGGAAAAAGTCTGACTAGACTGAACAGCTCAGTGCTCGCACCCGGGGTGTAACAATGCAACTCTTCTGGGTCTCTGGGCGCCGCTGGCTGGGCCATAGCTAGCCACGCTGGGGGACAGGGAAGGCAGTGCCAGGGATGAACTGAGGTCCAGCCGGAGACTGAATCCTGTGCTTGTTCCCCTGTCTTATCACCTTCTTTTTAAACACACATCATTTCATCTCCGGCACCACGTGGTTGCCCACGTATTTGGCAGCTGAGACCCTGGAGGCCCCCAAGCACCACTCAGATGGGGATGGCGGTGCCTGGGCATGGAGGGTCCTAGCGCTGAGCTGCCCGCCAAGGCGGTGAAGTATAACTGGGCATGGCTCTGGGCCCTGGGGTGCTGCAGTGAGGCCCAAAAGTCACAAAGCTGCACAATGGCAATGTTGGATGATCACTATACACTTAACATTCATTTGTTCAGAAATAGCAATGAAAAAGTCAAACCCAAGACCTCAGGAACCTAACGGGAAGTCTCGCCCTTGGCTATTCCCATATTTCATATAAACTGGACCCCAGAATAGGCACAATCCTGTCAACTAGCCCACAGCAGCAAGAGCAAAATGCTTCCCTTCTCTTATTATCCTGGAAAGCCACTACTTCCTACGAACGGCCATCACATCCCTGACCCTAACCTGAGCCTCAGTCAAACCCTAACCCTAACGCGTAGTAGGCCTAATATCTAGTGAAGCCCCAAAGTAGCACATTTACAAAGTTTAATGGTCTCTATACACTCGTAGTTCATTTTTTTTTCTGAAATAACAGTGCAAGAGTTAACATCCAACACCCCTGGCAACCTAAAGGCAAGTGCTGCCCAAGGCTAGTCTCATAGTTCTGATCATCTGGACCCCAGAGGAGACACAATCCGGCCAATTAGCCACAACAGAACAACCGCAAATTGCTTCACTTCCCTTTTTTATCTTGGAAAACCACATGACCTTCCAGCGGGAAACAGCTGTATGATGAGCAACTTGGTAAGTCATGGCGTTCTATTAAAATCTGAGATGCATTTCAGAGCGCGTAACTGGAAGAGAGGCAGGTACAAAATGAACACTGGTCACGTATGTGATCCGCCCAACAGAAGCTCCTTAATGACAGTGGGGTCTTGGCAGGGCCCGGGAGGGTACTGTGCAGCCCTGAGCTGGACACCACGGGGAGGGTCCAGCCCGGAATATGAACCCCAGGATACAGCGGGTGGAACAGAACCGGCCAGGCATCACTCCAAAAGACCTGGTCGCACGCACCTGGCTCTGGGTGGCTGTCGCAGCCCCGGGCAATCCTC